AGGAAACTAAATATTTTAAAAAGGACCAAATTACTTAAGAGTAAACTGCTGTACCGAAAAAATCAGCAAAGAACTATTTTTGTATTTATTTATTCATTTTACAAGCCGTCAGTATAAAGTATTTATTTATGATTTAATTTATTGAATATAAATTTATTTTTAATTTTAATTAGTTTAAATGTTATTAGTTTTTACATTATAAGTATTTTGTTTTGTCAAATAATAAGCTTTTGCAATATCAGTATTTTTTAACAAATTATTAGGTAAATTTATGATATAAGTATTCAGTTTGAAAAATTTATATAGTTTTAACATATATCCTTTTTAGATAAGTTAATAAGTAGTTTTACGATATAAGTACTTTCTTCTACAAATTTTATATTATTTTATAGTATTTTTATGATATAAGTTTTGTTTAAATTTCTATTTATTTAATTTACAAGCCGTCAGTATAATGATTTCATTATAAAAGGCGCATGTTAATATTTTACAAATTTATTTTATATAATTTAATTAATTAATTTATTAATCAATTCATTTATTATATATTTATTTTTAATTTTAGTTATTTCAATAATTTCTAAAATATAAAATTTGTTTTATGAGAGTTTTTACAATATACGTATTTTTTTTATCAGATAATTAGTAATTTTGCAATATCAGTATTTTTTTAAACAAATTTTTATATAATTTTATGATTGTTTAAGTGTGTTGTTTCACAAATATATAAGTGTTTTTACATATAATATACTTTTTTTAACATTTTTTTAATATACTGTTTTTGAGTTAATAGATATTTTCACAATATAAATATTTTGTTTTACAAATTTTTAGGTATTTCTTTGATACAAGTTTTGTTCAAATTTTAAATTTTATTTTGTTTTTCAGTCTGTCAGTGAAATGATATTATGATAAAAGGCTCATATTAATATATTACAAATTTATTTTATACAATTTAATTATTTTATTTATTATTTATTTATTCTTTAATGCATTTATTATATATTCATTTTCAATTTTAGTTATTTTAATTATTTATAAATATAAATATTTTGTTTCTTGAGAGTTTTTACATTATACGATTTTTTTATCAAATAATAAGTATTTTTTATAATATAAGTATTTTATTTAACTAATTTTTAGGTAATTTTATGACAAAGTATTCAATTTAACAAATTTATAAGTGTCTTTACATATATACTTTTTTTTTAAGTTAATAAGTATTTTTACAATATAAGTGCTTTGTTCTACAAATGTTTATATTATTTTATAGTATTTTTATGATATAAGTTTTGAACCCGTCAGTATAATATCATTATAAAAGGCGCATATTATATATTCATTTTCAATTTTAGTTGTTTTAATTATTTTTATAATATAAGTATTTAGTTTTATATTATAGGTTTTATATTACAGGGATTATAGGTTTTTTTTATCAAATAACAATATCATAACATCTGCAATATCAGTATTTTTCTAACAAATTTTTAGGTAATTTAATGATATAAGTGTTTTGTTTAACAAATTTATAAGTGTTTTTACATATAATATCCTTTCTTTAACAAGTAAATAAGTATTTTTACCATATAAATATTTTTGTTTTATAATTTTTTGTTACTTTTATGATATAAATTTTGTTTAAATTATTATTAATTAATTAGTGTTTTTAAATTGTTAAGTCTTTCGAATAACAAATAGGTATTTTCACACTATAAGTATTTATTTATATTAGTTCTGGTAAAGTTTAGTCCAATGGAATTTCTTTTTTGAGTTAGGAATTATAGTTAACACTTTAGTAGAAAAAAGCTTATCCCATAAAAATTATATTTATTAACTTCCCGAAGGAGAAGTTTATGTTTTCATCAAAAAATCCGAATGGCTAATTTTATGTTTTCTCGACGTTTCAAGCCATTCTGAATCGAATGAGACCAAATTTGGAAAAAGTATGTGTGTGTGTGTGTATGTGTGTGTGTGTGTGTGTGTATGTGAACAGATTTTTTGCCGTAAATCGACGTTTTCTCCAAAACGGCTGGAGCGATTTCAAAAATTTAAAAGCCATTTGATGTATCTCGATGAGGACTATCGTCTCTGAGTTTTGTGCGGCGATCGGCCGGGCCGTTTCTTTGTAAATTGCAGAAAAGTGAAAAATTTTTCGCCCACGTTTTAGCCCGCAATTCTGAATCGATTCTGAAAATTCAAAAACCATTCGATAGATATTGGTTGGGAATCGTGCTGATTAGTTTTTGGTAAAGATCGGCCGGGCCGTTTTCTTGTAATAACGTTTTTAAAAAAAAAAAATCGACGATTTTTATGCTTTTTTTTTTGACGGTAGATACCATAGTTTTCTAGGTTATACTAAAATATTACGGCCCTACGACAACTCGTTTAGCTTTAAAAATTCGTCAAAGTTTGCAAAAATTGGTATAGTTTTTTTGACATTTGTCAAAATTAGACTTTTGATCGACGTTTTCTCAAAAGCGCCTCAACCGATTTCAGAAATTTAAAAGCCATTTGATGTATTTCGGGGAAGACTATCGTTTGTCAGTTTTGTGCGACGATCAGCCAAGCCGTTTCTTTGTAATTAAAAAAAAAGTGTTAAACTTTTCGTCCACATTTAAGCTCATCCTACCGAACCGATTTTAAAAAATCAAAAACTGTTCGAAAGATATTAGTTGGGAATGATACTGATCAGTTTTAGGTGAAAATCTACCGAGCCGTTTTCTAGTAATTAACCGTTGAAAAAAAATTTAAGCCGATTTTTATGGAATTTTTTTTAGCGATATATACCATGGTCTTATAGAACTTACTGAAATATTACGGCCTTAAGACAAATAGTTTGATTTTAAAAATTCATCAAAGTTTGAGAAAATGTGAATTGTGAATTGTGAATGTGAATTGTGAAAAATGACATTTGTTAAAATTAAAATTAGACTATTTACTTGGTATAATGATAGAGTACTTGGTCTTGAACATAATAAATCATTAAAGTCCTGAAAACTGGTTCAATTATAAAAATTATTGATTTTTGAAAATTTGCTTTTAGAAAATACTCCGAGTTAACGTGTTCGTTCGTTTTCAATTATGTGTAATAAATCCACTCGGAATACTTTTAATGACTCATAAATTAATTTATTTTTTATTGATTAAGTCGATTATTTAAATATATCGGGAAGTTCATGTAACTTGCCTCAAGGCTAAATACCAAACCAACTAGTTTCATTAATTAATTCTATTTGTTTTATTACCAACAACCCACAGAATAGTTCTAAAAGGCCTTAAAAATACAATTATATAAATAATACAATACAATATAACCATTTTAGTAAGAAGTAAAAAATTTTATTCTTAACCAAATGCTAGGTCAATATAAATACTCATTTTAATAATCCATTTAATTTTTTGTTCAAATTATTTCCTAAAAAAATACTTAAAAAAAAACTTGTGGGTTTAGCCAAAGTATAATCAATTTTTCTTTATTTTTTATAATTTTTCACAGTGCGATTAACGCTTGAATTAAAATCAAATATTTTTTAATTCAATAATTATTTTATATCTATTCTAAATTTATAACAAATATATGGGTTAATAATATATTTATCTTAATAATTATTTTATTATAATAATAATAGACTTATATTAATGTGAATTTAGCTTTATTATTTTAGGAAAGATTTATGTACTTTAAGAGAGCATTGCCAATCATTTCATATTGTTGGCGTTATATGTTAAAAAAATATTTTTGGCATAATCCTACTGTAGATGTCCTCTAATGTGTCCTGTGTCGATGTTTTGTTATAATTTCCGGTTTATGATTTCTTCATAGATGTCCTATAACTCTGCTTTATATTTCAACTTAATATTAATATTGTATATATGATATCCAAAAAGGCACAAATATGTGCCCCTACAATGAGAATTATTCTTGCATATTTCCAGTGTTTCCAAAACTAAAACCAAAATGATGTTTCATGCAGTTGTTTCTTGAAGCTTCAGCCTTATTATTTGTTTTATTATTATTATTTCAGCTTTACATGTGTTTCTCAATATTTCAAGATACAAAAGTACATCATTACAAAACAGTATATATATATCACAGCGCTGTCTTTCACTATAAACAACAGAACATGAAAGATTATATATACCAAATTCGAAAAAATCTCTTTCTAAAATACTCGAAACAAATAATATATAATTTAAACAATGACACAAATCTGACAAGGACGCACATTTTTCACGCACATTAGATGCAATATTTTTATTTACAAAATGGACAGCACGCTCCAATGTAGATTTTTAACATTTTTGTTCAGTCCAGAGAGAGTAAACGCAGGCCAGCATGAATGTTGTGCATGTTAGATGTACTATAATAAATAATACTTATAATATATTAATTAATAACATACATTATTATACATCTTTACCTATATGAATCTATGTCTACTTTACTTTATCTATATGATTGTTGTAAAGTGTTGTCTTTGCATAAAATCGAATGATAACCGGAATGATATTGTGATCAATTATATTTATGGCATATAAAATGCATATCAGGTTAAACCACCATTGTCACGAAAACTACACAAAATACAACAAATTATCCAAGGTGCACCTTCTCGAACGAATTTGATATATAGGTACTCAATTTTTGTACAAAATCATTTATATTCACTATTCAGAAGTTAATTATAACAACAACTGCAATCGTGTTACCATAATAAATTAATTGCTGAAAAACATTGGCATCAAATAACTATCAACCCATTACCTATCACAAGACCTTCTTAAAATTCTTGGAATAAATAATCAATTTGTTGGTCAACAATGTTACACTCCAGAAATCTATATGCCCCCTTAGTATTTACAGGACAAAACAAGAAAATACCTTTTACATCTACCAACACTGTATTTATAAAACCGCACCTAACTTCAATGTCAATCTATCGCACGAGGCATTTTTACCAATTTTAGCCGAAGCAGTAATGGGACGTCAAGGTAGTACCATGGATGTCCAAAGTTTACACTTGGGTGGCCTGGTACACGCCGAGGAGGAAATCCAAATGACTAGTACTGTACCAGCTCTGAAAGGAGCAATTCAGGGATTAGTGTACAATGGCAGAAGGTATATAGAATTAGCCAAATCATTAGGAGTGGCTGAAGGAACTACCGGAAGAACCGAAGTCGGAAGAAATGCATCGGCACATTCAGGAAATGCTGTTACCGCCAGATTTGTAAGATCAGAGCAGCCGGTTCCTTATAATGTGGTAACCTTCAAGTAAGTGGATGAAAAAAACTAATTATCTCATTTTTTATAAATCTCATTGCTAGTAAATACTTTAAATTTGAATTTTATTGAATATGAAACTGGTTTATATATTTATATTGCCTATTAAAGCAAATTAAGAGTTGCTTAGCATTATATTTAATCTTTTAATAAATCTTTTTATACTCATAGATCTAAGCATACGTTTCTGGGACTGCCAACACTAAAAGCTTATTGGGATTTGCAAGTGGACTTACAATTTAGAACGCTTGAATCGTCTGGTATTCTTTTGTATAATGCTGGTCGAAGAGGTGACTTTTTCGCCTTAGAATTGAATGCTGGCCGTGTAAGAGCAGTATTGGATTTAGGAGATGGCCCAATTATTTTGGAAAGTAAAGGCTCCAGCAGTAATCCACTGAATGATAATAGATGGCATTCTGTTCACCTGAGAAGACCTGCTCCAAATGTTCATTCGTTGGAGGTAGATGATAAAGTTGATCTTCATACAAGTACAGGTATAAAAAAGAATCATTTACTCAAAAAATATTTCTGTTAAAGAATTAGTTTACTAAATAAATTGATTTCTTTTATTATTAGGATCAAATATCAATTTGGACTTAGAAGGACTACTTTATGTTGGAGGTGTACAAAAAGATATGTATTCAGGACTTCCCAGTTCTGTTTTGTCACGAACAGGTTTTGAAGGTTGCCTTGCTAGTTTAGACTTAGGCGGTGAAAGTCCAGTACCAACTGAACACGCAGTTGTTCCTAGCTCCCTGGTTTCTTCTGGCTGCGAAGGTAAAATTTAGATTAAAAATTATCTACTTTAGAAGCCTTTGTTATGTATGTTAAGTACAAATTAATCGAGTAATACATACCTTCTTACGATTAGATTTTGTTAGATAAAGATGTTTCTTGAGCATATAAAGCATTGAATTTTATGTGATTCACAATTATATCTTTTCCAGGTCCGACAAAGTGCAGTCAAAGCGCCTGTGGTCATCGAGGAGTGTGCGTCCAGCAGTGGAATGCTTATGCCTGCGATTGCGACATGACCTCCTATACTGGGCCTACTTGCTTCGACGAAAGTGTTGCCTATGAATTTGGTCCTGGTCGAGGTGGTCTTGTTCAGTACGTTTTCCCTGACGGAAGACAACCTGATACCGAAGAAGACGATATTGCATTAGGTTTCATTACAACGAGATCGGATGCTGTTTTGTTGAGGATAGATTCGGGCACTACGCAAGATTATATGGAATTAGAAATGGTAAAATATAGAACATATTTTGTATTTATTATAGTTATATTTATTGATATTTATGATAACAAATTATAAGAAAGTAGGTAAAGATCCCAGAAAAAAGAGCAAGATTTAAATAGTTCTTATTTGATCAAAATTGTTATTGTCAAATTATATTTGATCAAAACTGTAAAAAAAATTGATCAAAAACAAATCTAATCTCAGCGTGTGTCTCTTGGCATATTATTGATTAAATCAATTCAATTAAATCACTCAATAATTATTTATATAATATATAAAAAGCAGTTAAATTTTTCTCATATTTCTATATGACCCTAATTGGCAAAAGGCCAATTGCTCTAAATGTATTATATTATATTTAGACTAAAAAGTAAACTATCTCCGTGTTTCTAACAAATATGTAAATATTTATAAAATGCTATTCAATCAGAAACCAGATAAAAAATATTGCCGAATATATTTTTTTTATAAATTTATTCACCAGTCATCTCTTAACTTGTAATTTTTGTTAGACTAATGAATTTTATTATCATTGCAATTTTGTTAGATTAATGAATTCTAATTACACTTGCACAGGTTGAAGGTAATATCTTCATGGTGTATAACGTGGGATCACATGATCATCCGCTGGGAGATGTCGGGGTTAAAGTAAGTAAATTAAAATAATAAATATTTTTATAATGACCCCAATAATATTCTTTATTATTTCCTCAATAGGTTAATGATAATGTCTATCATGTAGTAAGATTTTCAAGAAAAGGTGCCAATGCTACTTTACAAGTAGATGACTATGATGTTCAAGTAAATCAACCACAGGGTAAGATTGTGAAAATAATTATTTTAATAAATGTAATGTTTTTACATTATACACCATTGGGGACATTTATGCATGTTATATTTTTCGGTAGCAAATAATTGATAAACTTAGAGTAGCACAATTTAATGTACTAGCTGCTATTCGAAGTTCATTAATTGCATTATATCCGAACGTTTTATATTCTACTGCGAATTCACATTACGCAATAAAAATCTCATTTTAAAAATACAATCTTTATTGATAATAATAAGAAGTACTGCTATGAAGCAGGCTCATGAGCTGATTTAAACTTCGACTCGATTAAGGGAAGGATAGTGTGAGAGATTTCTCATTGTCATTTTACACCGCAGTCCCCAAAATAGGCTTATTTTTAATTGGAAACATATTTTTTATCTATATTTTCAAGTAAAAAAGGACATCGCTACTGCACGATATTAGGTCTTCCAGAGCGCGGGGCTTGAACTCGCGACCTTGTCCACACAAAGTCAGCAAGTTTTATACATACAATAAATTTTCTATAGAATAACTTACAGGATTTGTTTTTACATATAAGTCTTGCTACATAAATTCTCCGAACATATATGATGATATAGTATTGCCCTGAGAAGTAGAGGGCAAAAAACACTATATTGCAAACCAACAACCTAATACATAATATTTTTAACTTACCGTAGGGTGAGGTATTGTAATCGTCCAAAAATCAAAATTGAAAATTTTTGTATTTCTTCGCGTTTTGAAGGTTTCTGAACATTTTGGCATACCTCAAGAAAAACCTATTGATCCTGTGTGTATGGATCAACCAATTTGAATGGTTCAAAAAACATTCGATTCCTATTGATAGGGAAATGTGCTGATTAGTTTTTGGTAAAGACAGGTCCAGTCGTAACGGAGATACAGAGCAAAGAGTGCAAAAAATAGAAATCGAGTTTTTGAGAGAACCTGAAGAAATAATTTTGACTTAGGATATATAATTCTTATAAATCTTAGGCAATGCCGTTCATTTTAAATTCGATTGATTAAATTTTGTTTATTTCACTTTTTTGTGAAGATATATAAGTTATAGTAATAATAATAATCTATTTGAAAAAATTTAATATTTCTCGAATATTTCATTACGGTACGAGAAGTTCCAGCTATTTGCCTTAAGGTACGATGCCATACACCACAAGTTTTTAAATCAATGACATGAGCCTATTTGATATTTATGTATTAACTGCATTATAAAAATGTTAATAATTTGTAACAATTGTTTTTACCTTCCTCATATGTAGGTCAGCAGTCGACCCTCTTCAACAGCATGTCAACGATTCAAGTGGGCGGTAAATGGCCCAGGGACGGCAGCCGCGCCCGCGTCGAGCGTCCGTTCACGGGCGTCGTGGCGGGATTGAGCGTCAACCGGCTGCGCGTCCTGGATCTTGCTGCCGATAACGCAAACGGCATCACCGTAAGGCACGAAGCTCAACTTGTCACTGGAGTTTTGGAACGTAATGATGTCCTGCAACGAATGCAACAGGTAGAAGTGAAAACTGTATTACAATAATAGTATTATTTAAAATGAAAACACAATCCGAGCTGCATTTAGAATTAACTAATATGACTAATAACTAATTCTCAGAGAACCAAATGTAAATATACCATAGTAATTTATATTTGTAAAACTACAGACCCCAGCATCTGGCTATCCAGGTCTCCTAGATGACCTCATATTCTCTGGTGCCGGATCAGGCTGCCGCGGTGATGACGAAGACGAATGTCCAGCTCTTCCTGAACAAGGCAGTGGGGCTGGTGATGATCTAGTGACTCCAGTTTACGCTCCATCCACCCCATCGTCCGGAAGGTCACGAGGCGGAGGCACCACTCCTTCGCAGAACCTCAATGGAGCTGGAAATAATGGATGTGATGATGAAGATTGTCTGCAAGGTAGTGGAGCAGGAGAAGTCACCTCGCAGAGTGCGGGTGGAGGAGCTGTAGCAGGCGGAGGAACAGGTATAAAATAAAAGTTCTTCATTAGTAATTATTAATTAATAATACTTATATTGTAATTTTAACATTTATTTTCATCAGATTTGATTCCCGCTTACACAACTACTATTGAAGAAGATCACCATCCATCAACTATAGGTTTCCAGTATCCGTCATCAACAACAACGCAAGAACAACCATCATCTTCCACCACGAATCAAATCACACAATCGTCCTTCAGTCCAAAACAAGACTTGGAAATATCTACTGGTGGTACCACAACCGATACATGGCACCAAAGCACCACGAATAACCAATATAACAGAAACAATAATGTCTACAGACCTCACACGGAAATGCAACCGACTACTAGCACTTTAGACTATATCCACGAAGACTTTATAGAGCCAGCAAGTACTGTTGGACCGCATTTAGAAGATAACGAAGTGGATTTACCTTACTTCCCACAACCACCACCGTATTATCCCACTGCCAGGACACCGAAAAATAAAAAGAAAGATAGAATTGTGTCCGAAACATCAGAACATGTTGCCACTGTTATAGGCATAGTAGCTGGTGCCCTTATTGCAGTAATTTTGGTTATTATAATTATACTCCTAAGGTTCAAAAATAACAACGAGAGAAGTTATAAAGTGGATGATGAAAAATGCTTCCAGCAAGGACCTCTGCTGGCAAACCAGCCCGGGCCTGTCCAGCCTGTCAGCTATGCCACGGCTCCTACATTGCCCCTCAATGGAGGAGTTAGGAACGGTTGCGATTTGCAGAAACCGGTTGCTAAAAAACGCGATTCAAAAGATGTTAAAGAATGGTACGTGTAAATAAAACGTGACAGTGTGAAGTGTTTATGTAAAGGTAAATAACAAGCGAAATAGGACAAAACAAATTTTGCAATTAATTAGACAGTAAGACTGTGTGACTTCAGGCTGATTTAATCATTTTTGGGTATAGTTAAGTATAGGAAATTATCTGGACAATTATATTGAGTTTATTCAACTCGAATGAAAGTATGCCAAATTAGCAAACAAAATCAATTATGATCTATCGATAATACGATGGAAATGTAATCTGAATAATTACAATTATTAATCCCTTTTTTTGTATTGCTTCATATCCAAGTGAAGTCACACTATAGTCTTTAATTAAAAATAAGGACTCATACTCACTTGTTTGTTGTTGATCACCACTCTAAAGACTAAAATATAATACTAAAATTAAAAAAAAATAAAGCTGACAAATAAAATCTTAACTTAAAAAATATTAGTGGTCTTGCAGAGATTTTGGGCCATCTATATCCTAAAAAAGTGATAACTTTAATGAAAATTTCATTATGTTGTTGTAAAATGTTATAAATAATCATAATTATAATATTTAATACACTGTATGCAGGACTGAGGTATTGTAAAAAAATAAAATGCTTTAAATAACGTCTAAATTTAGATCTCATAAACATTTTCAAAGAACGGAAGCAATAAATAAATATTTATTAAAACTAAATTGTTTCGCAAGCAAGATTAATGATTATTTCAACAGTGGTAATTTAGGAAAATTTTAGGTAAATTTAATTCCTATAGAATTTTGGAGATAAATCCTAAATTTGGCCAATGAAAATTTGAAATTTATTATTACTAATTTATTCGAATTAATAAGGGTAATCTTTGTGTTAATTAAACAGACCTGTGAATGTGTATTTAACTAAAATAAATGTATTTTTGTAACAGTTCATTGAAGAAAATTTTGAATCTCCTTTGGCCAAATAATTAAACTTATACGAATTAAAAATGTCCTCAAAGGTAACGATTACTTAAATTAATCCTTCTTCTCTTCTCGACTTTCAAAAATTAGTATTCAAATTTCGGAAAATCCTACTTGCACTATTTTGAAATGCTTTTGGATTTTGAATCACAGTTATTTTCCAATAGTTTATAGTTTGAATTCCCTAATTAAATGGTTCAATATCCAAAATGTAATTATCCTAAAATATGCACAAATTTTGAATTAAATTAAATCCCGTAAAATAATTATCTAATCTATCTAAAATTTAACGCGTAATTTTCAAATCTTTAGTCAAACCAAATTGTACATGATGTATCATAAAACTAATTGGTAATAATCCTAATATTTCCTGGTGATTTTACTGAAGTTTTGTAGAATGCGGCATAAATAACACCATTAGATAAAGGCAAGCCAATTTCCATGATTAAAGATGATTAAGAAACATTCTATGAAATAATGATAAGTTTGAATGTTTGACGTTTTAGATTTTGTACTAAAATAGATTAGAATTTTTTGCGTTTTGGTTTAAGAAAATCTGTGACATATCCCATGAGGTGAAATGACTGCTGATGCCTCTTTATTAGTTAATTTATAGTTAAATGTTATAATGATAAGTTTCAAAGGCATCATCTCTTAAATAGTTAAACAAAGCTGGGATTTTTTATTTTTGATTAGTTATGATATTGATATTTCTAATATAGTACTAGCCTAAAGATTGTGGTAATTAGTTAATGATTGAACATGATTATTATACTATGAATAGATTCTATGATTTTTTATAAAAAATATATATATTTATTTTTAATATAAATTTATGGGCAAAATTGCAAAATAAAATTGTAATGACTCAAAATTGCACTAGAAGACGATTGTGTAGATTTAATTAGCAAAAAAGATTAGACGATGGAAAATATATAAGTTTGGTGGCTATATTGTCGATAACAACAATATTTGTAAATCAGTGTAAGATTGTACACAATAATACTAATTTCTCACACATCATTTACATTTAGTTCGACATTTTCTTATAAATATTTACGATAACAGGGTGTTTCAACATTCTCGAAAAAATATTGCAAGTCATATTAGAGATTTTACACATTTATCGTTCTAAATATTTTTTTAGACACAATAAATATTACAATTGCAATATATTATAATATATTCGTCTCAAATAGATGATACTGCTTATTCTTGGTTTTAAAACCTCTTTATCTGATGAAAAAATGTGTTATCAAGAACTTTTTCTAGATTAAATTTATCTGGAATGCGAAAACAAGGACGAACTTACGGAAACTACAGACAACACAGAACAAGGCACTGAGACTAGTACTAAACTGACGTACTGACAGTATACGATTACATAAAGAAGCTCACTGAGAATTTTTATTCTAAAAGTAGAGATCACACAAACGGAAACATCCAGGCAAACATGCCATGCCAAACTATATCCTGATCGACCCATAACTTTTTCGTTTTCTCTAGAATGAGATATTATTCCTCTAGTTACGATTTACATTAGTCATTACAATTTCATCATGTAATAGTCCTAAGTGTATTATATGATATATAAATTAATGTTAAGTAGTTGTAGTTCAAAATATAATTTATAGAAACAAATTTAAATTGATTTGAGTGGTTTAGAGTTATATACAGTTTTCTATCGTATATGATTTAGATAAATGAAGGTTAAGATAATTTCGTAAACAATTGTATTATAATTGTACATATAAAATTATTATTGTTAGAATATTATAAAATCTTTTCTCGCGGAAATTGATTAAACAGTACAACCTTCAATTATTTATCCTTAATTTTGCAATAAAAATGTTAAAAGTACGTTGAACTTTGAAAAAAATCTAAAAATTTTGTAAAATTTCTTTTGCAGCGCAGGAACCAAACCAATTTCAGTTAATATAATTTTCAAGTATTTCGTATTTAATTTTTTGAAACAAATAAATTATCATAGAATAAATAATTCACTTAAAAAAAATTAGAATGATCATACATTATTATTAATATAATTTTAAAATTATTATACGATTAAAATTATACTTCAAAACTTTTAAAAATGTAGATGCTGCAACTTCAATCACTTAAAAGAAAAATTTTTAGGCATGATAAACATTTTTAAAAAAATTGCGCAAAAAAGAAATTATACAAATATTGATGGATTACATTTTTTAGCAAAAATAGTAGGATGAGTAGTAGATATTTTGAAGTACTTATTAAAAATATTAAAAACTAAGAATGAATTACATAATTTGGTCTTGTTGATATAAACAAACGCTTGTAAAATCATTTAAAGTAAAAATATACGTATAACTAATTTTCTTCGTCTTGGACTCATTAATAAAAGAAATAACACGTTTTGCGATTATTTTGTTCTAAAGACTAATTTTTTTCTAATTTAATACAATTTTTCTAAATTCATCCGTCACATTTACGAAGCAAAAACACGTTTTTAAAAAAGAATTAAATTGATTTTTGTTTCCTGTGAATGTTTTACTTGCAGCGATATTTTTAGCATAAAATTGTTTGTACGTTTGTGATCAATTATTGTTAGTCAATTAGATTCATAATATATAGAATCAAAATATATAACTATTAATACAAACCTCCATTAATTCTTAAAATGCTTCAAAATATCTACTGGCTTCATTGCTACATTCAATAAGAAATTAGTCTGGCAAAGTTGAGTTATAATGTTTTACAAATATTAATTGAATTTAGTTTTTCAATATTATTTCTAAAATTTGAGAAAAATAATGAGTACATAAAAATAATATACGAAAACAAATCTATATATACCAAAATCACGGCGCCGAATTTTGCCCTTCTATGCATATCTATGTGAAAGACTCTTTACAAAACTTTTTTCAAACTACTTAATTTGTAACAAAACTAATCCTAAATAAATCGAAATGTTTTCTTTACATATTAAAATAGAGTTTCGTGAATTAGTAAATATAACTATAAATACATATACATAAACAATAATATATAAGTACTTATATATACGAACAAAATACATGTAAAGAACAGAAAATGGCACTGTACAACTATATATAGTTAAATAAAATATAAATAAATAAACATTCACTGACACACAAATACACACATAGATTTTAGGATTGAGTAGAAAATCAAACTAAGTCCTAAACTCACAATATATAAACCCCCAAATGAAAGATGCAATGAAATAGTAACTTACATTTATTTTTTTAGATAAAAATATAATGTAAAAATTGTACATAGAACTTCGATGATATAAAATGTGCACATATGAGGATTATTATATTATTACATTTCTCAATATTTCAAGCATTTTACATATGCAAAAAAAATCCCAACAATCGTTGACAACCAATTTTTCGTCCATCGAATCGATTCGATCAAGTGATTCGAATACGAGTCGAATTTTATGATACGACTCGAATATTTGATTTCAAAATCGAACCAAATAATCAGATTTTTTCAAACTTTTTCAAAGTTATCAAGTTGATAATTCTTTTGCTACAAATGTCATCCATGGACGACATCCACTTGACTAAACGTGTATACGAGTGTCCATGGACGACATATTCTGTGCCGGGCTTCACATAATATGAATTATATTTTCAGGAAATTGATAGAACAGTAAAACGTGATAACTCTGTAACTTTTATTATTATATTGATGAATTAAAATTTGCTTACATATTTAACTTATGATGGCTAATGATTAAATTCCGAAAAACATAATCAGATTTATTGAAATCGATTCGAATCATTTGCTCGAATTGAAATATTTCTAAATTTAGCATTTTAGCTCCAATGGACGTCAAAGTATTAAATAAGTTGTGATGATAAATTTATTGTTGAATAAAAATAAAACTCTTACTTGAACAAATAAATCAATATGTAATCTGTATTATCAATATGTAATTAGTAAATAATATGAAGCTGCTTGTGTGTCAAAATTAAATTTCCATTATTTACATAATAATTTAACATATTTAAGAAGATATTCCAACTATAATTTTAAAATTAGTTACTATTTTATT